AAAAAAAAAAAAATTAGGTTTTAAATATATTTGTGATGGACCATTGTGGTTTTAGCCTGATTATTATCCCAAATGTGACTCTTCACCCTTTCATAATGTGTTCTTTTAAGTAAATTACAGATCTATGCTGCTCTAAGGTTTTTTTTCTCACACTTTTATTCAAAAGTTTGTATGCTTTTTGAATTTCTCTTTCCCCTAAAGAGATTTGGCTAGTCAAGTTCTGCCTGGCATCTTTTGCCATGTGAAAAGCAAACAGATGCTTGAAAGGTTGTGCTCTATTCTGGGAGAAATCTGATTAATGTTGAAGGTCTGTGTCAGGTCAGACTCAACCTGCTGACAGATTATTTAGTGAGTGCCAGCATCACTCTAAATGTTATCTCAGATTTTAATGGTTTTCTTGTGAAGGACATTTGTAGATGAAACCAATTTGTGTTTAAAGTTAATTGTGGCTGTTGGGCCAGAGACTGGTTAAGAAGAAATTATTTTCTGAGAGCAGGCAGTAATTTGAAAAGAATGAATGATTCATCAGATGATGTGGCAAGGACTGTAATTGTATTTGTGTTATAACATAAACTGTTGCTTTTGAAATTATGAAATCTTACCTCCAGTGAAATAAGAATTCCTCAATCGAAGTTCCTGTTAAACTATCTTAAATTCTTGTACAGGCAGCCCCTGGTTTATGAACGAGGTAAGTTCTGTAGATTTGTTCTTAAGTTGTATTTGCAGGGTTTTTTTGTTGTTGTTGTTGTTGTTTTGGGTTTTTTTTGGCCAGGGCTGGGTTTGAACCCACCACCTCTGGCATATGGGACTGGCTCCCTACCCTTTTGAGCCACAGGTGCTGCCCCTCTTAAGTCGTATTTGTATGTAATTTGGAACAGGTGTATTGACCTGTTACCTGCAAAAGCTTCCACTAGTCATAAGTGTGAGTCGTAAGTCAGTTAGATGTTTGTTACTCAGGGTTTGCCTGTAATAGTTTCCAAGATCTCCTCACAACTGCTTAAAAAACACAGAGTAAAATGTGATGCTCATTCTTGGTAAAGTGAGATCTCTGGTCATCCCTAATGCTTCTCTTTTCCTCCTCACCTTAACTCCCCAAATCCACATGTAAGCTCTTCTGTTTCATGAATCTCAAATGCTTGCACCCTCTACTGCACTGCCAGCATTTCAGACTAGACTATAGAAACAAGTGGCTTACTTGTGCTCCTCCTTCCACTCTTGCTCGCCACATAGCAGGCAGAAGGGCCTTTATCTTTTTAAACTTGATTATTGTTATGATTATTATAAACTGTATATTATATAAATTTTCAAATATATGCCAAAGAAGTTCGAACTCCTACACCCTCAGCACTGATCTGCTCATGGGCAGTCTTGTTTCATCTAAGCCTCTGTATTTGTCCCCATTCAATCATCTAGTTATTTTGAAACAAATCCTAGACTTTGTGTCATTTAATCAACTAATTGGGAATTGCCCTGAAGTGAATTTTTGCTTATTGGTTGATCACATAAAGTGGGGAAAGTTGCTACCCTAGGTGGTGATGTTATTTTTTACCCTCTTTTCTGTCTTGCAGTTCTGTTTCTTCTTAACTTTTTAAGAATATGTTCCCTTTCTGTTTGATAATTGCCATCCTCAGAAAAAGTGTGTCACATGCCTATTTCATGTAAAGCTTGTTCTTCAGGACTCTTATGTACAGATACTCTCCTATTTGTGTACCAGAAGCATAAGATGTGTAGGAAAGTTAATGTTCAAAAATGCAAATGTGGGCTCGGTGCCTCAAGTGGCTAAGGCACCAGCCACATATACCTAAGGTGG